GCAACCGATGACCTTGAGAAGAACAGAAGTCTACAGTGTCATAGAGTGCATCGCGTATCACCTCCAAACGATGCCTATTGGAGGTAACTTAAACGGAGACTCTGAGCCGGGTGTCGAGGGTAAGCCTGAGGGATGAGTAATCAGGAGCAGAGTACAGTCGGCTATGATGAACTACCTGTGGAAGCTGAGACCAGTTCGAATGACGAACAAGCGGCATGACCCTCTTTGGTAGGCGCTGTGGAAGACGAAGGCCTCACGTCCTGGTCTAATGCCTTGGAGGAACGACTGCCGATACAACCCATTCTGCCCACCGGTATGTGCGGAAAACCAAAACAACTCAAAGCAGTGACTTGTATCCGAGCTTCCAGCACGAATGCAGTCCAATACACAGCCCTTCATGCATCTCTGACTGGGATGAAACGGTGTTCTATTTGATACGCTTCCAGTCTTGACAACGCAATGGGGTTTTGCGACGTCTGTTCAAGTCCCCCTTTCACGTTTGCAATGCGCGTTGAGCACTTGCGTGCCGGTCGATATTGTGGATCATCGGTCATTCGTACGTTTATCGGCCTGATGAATGAATGAGTATGCGTGGGTCCCAGTGAGTCGATCAGCATGGTAGAATTAATGCTAGTCTAGCGAGTAGATTCTCCAGTTATCCTCCCAATAGGGCATATCGCTTGCCCGCCGAGCTCAGCCGACTGCTGTGCGCGTGAGGAAGTTCGAGAATTGACAACTCTGCTATAGTTGTCACTTATTTGGACGAGGATTCGTGATTGATCCTGTCTACTTCTCTCTTTCGTATACTCATTATCAGACTTATTGGGAAATAGTGGAGAACTTATCATAAGTTACTTATGAGATTACAAGATAGGTCGGTGACGCGACCGTGAAGGTTCTGTAAGGGAGCAAGTTCAACGACTGCACAACGCAACGGGGGAAATGGCGCTCGCCGCATTGAACTTTGTACAGGTGGCACCAGATTGGGTGGTTACGTACGGAAAGCGCAACAAACTCGCGCTTCCAAGCATAAAGAGTTTAAATTAAACTCTTAAATGTTGGTAGCAGATTGTCGGGTAAAATCCACGAGGTTACACGTTGCACCTGTGTAGTGATTCTGCTCCAACTACGATATGAACAATATTTTTTAGTAGTACAGGGGCCCTCGTGTAGTCGTGGGAGTCCTACGGTAGTACGTCACGGTTGTGTAAAAGTTAAGCCAAGTCACTAGTGTACACCAGTGGTATAATACCACTCAGGCCTTGGCAGTGAATTATTCACAAAACACCAAATATACGACTAGTCGAGAGCGTCAGGGAGCTGTTTCACAGCAAGAGGCTGTTGCCAACAGCTAACCCTGACAAACACCCCAACCACCGTACTACTAATTGACGTTGGAGAAGGAGTTGAGATATTCGGTTCTGATCTGTGATGTAAATCGATGAGTCCGTATTTTTGGAGCTCGTTACGTTCCGAGTATCTTACGTACTTCAGGGGTTCTTTTTTGGATCTTAATCTTCGGTCTATTCCGTCAAGGAATCCAGACCGGATCCCCTGGAGATTCTTTCAGCTCCCCCTTGTCGGCAGTGATACTCGAACAATTGGAAGCTACCATATTCGTAGACGAACTACACCATGTTTATAGGAGCAGCGAAGAATTGGTGCATGTTCGCGCTTTCGCCGCCTCTCAACACCACGCCATAAGATGGAAATCTCAACACAACTCAGGGTTACTATCCTCTAATATGCAACGAAGGCAATAGGCCGCCTTATTTCATAGGTTTTCACTGTAACGCAAGGCATCTTCGACTAGCCAGACACACTTCTATTGGCACGACAAAACAGTCACATGACCGGCCGTCGCATGTTGGGCCTTGCTCCAAAGGAGTATCTGCGAGACAGTCTTCCAGTGTAGGGCAGGCGGCATTCTACGTCGCAAAAGCATCCTCTGTACTCTTAAAGAACTTCTTCAGCTTCTTAACACGAGCCTGATGAAACTCTTTGTGACACTCGGCTGGACTTTGAGGCCTACTGTCTCCCGTCTTGGCAAAGGCACAAGGTAAGAAGACTCCTCCGTATCAAGTTGCGTCCTCGGCTCCTCCAGCATGCTATTCACTGCTCCTGCGGACTGCGGCCTGAGTGCTCTTGGATCCACGAAAGTTACGTTGTGCTCAACTCACCCAATCTGCCGTTTCCCCTCTGGAAACAGCGGCTCAGTTTTGCCGACATTCAAGCCGTGGTGGTCTTTACGAACCTCCAAGTCGGACCCTATCACGGGTGCCGAGGCGACTCCTCCCGATAAGGTCAGGACAGTCATCGGGCTCGACTTGTGTACGACCCGACGCCCCCGTCGACGTCGCAGGCGTATCTCACGCTCCTTGTCGAAGAGCTCCTGTCGCTCTCTTTCTCGTTCTTTTTTAGCCCTCTTGGCATCTTGGAGGGCCCTAAGAGAGAATAGCTCCTAACGGAGAGCACACAAAGCTGTTATCTCATCACTAGATCTGGCTGTATCCTAACGACACGCATTTCTCGTCCTACCACCCCATGGAAGAAGTGAACAGTACCTACCGGATCTGTGCACGTTCACGTGCAAGCCGCTCCCGATTCTCAATATCTTTCTTCTCGAACCAAATCTTGAGCTCCTAAGGTACACGCTCAGCCGTACAACAGATACCGACCGAATGAACGTAGAGCTACTACCTCTTTGCGCCTTTGTTGGCGCTCTTCCATTTCAGCAGCCATCTTATCCTCCTTCGCCTTTTTCTCTCGTTCTCTCATCATTTCCTTCCCTCGGTTAACCTACCCCCAAGTAAGAGCGTGATGCCCACGACAGGGTAATACCTTTTCCCGTTTCCGATGCAGCTCCTGTTGGGCCTTCAGATTGCGAGCGCGCTCGCAATCGAGTTCCTTCACAATCTGTTCTTGCTCTGTCTCTGTGAGGCCGACGCCCTTGGTGGCTACTAACTTCGCCCAGAGCTCAGGTGATGTCATCAGAGAATCCGCATGCATGAAATTTGGATCATAATGCTGCAGTAGCCGATCCGCACCTTACCGTCCTAGTAATGTGATACAAGTTGCCTCCTCTTTTTCGAGGGTCGCCCACATAGAGCCCAGTAGGTAGGGCTCAGTGAAGTGGTCGACCCCGTTTGTATGGGAGTTATCCCCAGCCACCATAACACACGCAACACCCATGTGGTTACAACGCATAAGCTCAACTTGAGCAGCACTGAATCATGCGAGCCGAATGAAGATGATAAGTGGCTGAAAGCGGCTTTATGACTGCACAGCAAAATTTACACGATAGAGGGTGAAAAATGGTTTCTACTCGAACCGAATCATGACAGTAGTTATGTCATCGCAGTAGTCAACTTCCTCTTCTTTCCATCTAATCAGCATTGACTCAGTCGAATACTCATCACACAATGGCTCACCTCTTCCGAGCTTCCTTGGCCAACTTCTTGAGACACCGTGGGGCCCCCTCTGAGGCAAGCTTGCGCGCCATGGCTTTGACCATCCACTGTGACGAAATGAACTCCCATATCCCATCGGAAGCCATCACCTAGCGTTCAAATAGGAAGCCCGCGATCCAAGTTAAGGACTTACGATGAACGGTTTATCCTCCTTAGCAGGCAAGATGTGCCTTCTAACATCGGGGTCGCAGATAACACCATGGGCCTTCACACAGTAGTCACCGAGAGATCTCGCCATGCACAGTCCAGGATAGTCTGCATCCTTCACGAAGATCCTATGCCTGAACCTCCGACAATATAATCGAATCACCATCGTAGAGTTCTTACACTGTCCAGCTGTCATCGTACATGAATGCCCTAACCTCACCCCCAAGCGCTTCCACACGTTCCCTCTCAGTGGGGTCGTCAGGCTTGTGATCAACAGTAGCAAACTCTAACTTCTTCCTTTCTTCAGTTCCGAGTACCTGATCCATATCGCCATCCGAAGCCGCTGTGAAGAGATGGTCCTCAGCCGACCAAGCGAGAGTCTCCGCAATGAGCACTCCAGAATGCGTTTGGATCAAGTATATGGTTACGGATTAGCACAACAGCTGTCGTGCCCGATGCTTGTACCTGATTATGGGCCTGTGATCCAACCACTCACGAGAACGTCCACGACGACTCTCTATAACCAAACTGGAATGACGAACGAGATTTATGAAGCACGAGTTCAGAAGCCGAGAGTCGCAATGCGAATAGAGTGCTCGCTTGTCGCCGATAGTTGAACTACCGCAGCGGTGACAGGTTTCCCCCTCGACCCCATAGAGTCCCACCTCATAGTCGTGAGATAGAGCGTGTCCAAGCATATCCTGATTGGTGAGCTGGAAGCACTGCTCTATACACCTGAATACGTAAATAAGGCAGCATAGCGAGGAGAAGAGGAGGTTACTTTGTCATGAGTGAAGGCTCTAAGATGTCACTATGGGCTATGTAGTAAGGTAGGGACATCACAGCTCGATAGCTCGCCATGTGCCCGTTGGGTCCGTGGCCGTCCATAACCTAACGAGTGGAAAAATGACGGACCTGCGGATCGAACCCACGACCTCGAGCTCACACAAATTATATCCCAGCCATTAACCAGTCGCGTTATTGAGAAGTTGTCTTGATTGAGTGAGTCATCCCCTGCCCCTTTGGAGCCTTTTATACAGGAGAATGCTATACCTAAACAGAGACAATATAAAGTACCCCTCCTGAGGGGGACCCTCTAGACCCCATTTACCCATTGTCTCCTCAATGTCCGTCAAGGGTATCGATCCGGTATGGAAGACCCCCTTCTCCTTGAATGGGATATCACAGTCCTCAAGTTGACCATGTATGTGGACCTAGAATGAATCTCCCGACGGGTAGGCTGCCGAGATGAGTCCTCACTATACAGCGATCCTCCCAGAAGGTCTTATAATGCTCATCAGTGATAGTCCCAAAGAAGAGCGATCCTCGCCTGATACGGGTTCTGAGCTGAAATCAGAGGTAGAGGACGATGATGCGGCGGAGAGCACCCAACCTCCTCTTGCTTGCGGCTTATTATTTGTTTGAGCTCCTGTGACACCTCCATGTCACCCCTACGATGACCCATGGTGTCGGGCATAGTCCGACACCGTCGCTCTTTCCCTGAAGTAGTGGTGGTAGCCTTGCAGGCCCAAGAAGGCCTCTCTATTACGCTCTCCTGCTACACGGGGTGGGAGGCCCTGCCCGATGGTCATACTTCGACCGTCCTCGCGTTCATAAGCGTTATCAGGATCAGTATCTGATATACGCCGCAAGCTCCTCCCAAGGGAACCCCTAGGACTACCTGCTGGCTTCCCCGTTAAAGCATCGAATTTGTTGAGGGCGGCCTCCAAGGACTTAGGCCTCGATAGACGCACCTGAGGCCGCAACACTATTGCATTGTATGATGCTAGGAAGGGCATTTGAGAGCATCCAAGATGTCGTTGAAGGGGTCACTGGAGGCTCACCTGCTCTAGAGACATTCCAAGGCTTTGTAGGACAGTGTCAACGACTAGTGAATCTTGCGTTCTTAGGCGGATCTTGATTTTCCTCAAGTAGTTTAGCGCGCGCCCGAAGGTGAGTAGAATAAGCAATAGGAGGATAAGCGATGTCATCTCCTAAGACAGCCGCTGCGACAGGGGCTAACGCTACACCGGCGGAGGGGTTCAAGGGGAGAGATGACTTTAGGAGGGAGAAACAGTTACAAGAGGCCCGAATGGCAGGTAGTAGTGGGAGAGGGGTTTTGGGCGCCTTGGAGGTCCTTATTCCTCCTGTTGGGGGTCTCCGAGCCATTGAGGTTATGTAAAGGGTTTTGTGGTGCACCGAGGTATGCATTTTATTGATACAGCTGATGCCTTCTGAGAGGAATTGAATCACTGGAGAGCGATGGACTCTGTTGTTGAGGTACGGCTGATGCTGAAGTGGACGTCAACACGGGGAAGATGATTAACCCTCACAATCCCCAATTCATCACTAAGGCCCCTTGGTAGTATCCGGAAGGGAAGGGGCTATGCAGTTAGTAGTGGGCAGGTACTTGGAACAGAATCAGGGGCCCTCTCTGGCACATCAACACGCTTGGAATCTGAAGCAACATGATAACAAGGATACGTAAGTTCGTGGGTGGGGAGGCGAAGCTCTATGAAGGGGGGCCCTTTAGGTACACTCGGGGGACCAAGGGGGACTTGAAAACTAAGTTCGCTAAAGGCGCTTGTGAGTGGTCTTGTGGAAGCTCAGTTTAGGTGGTAGAATGGCTTCCTCCATGTAGGTGAAAATTGTGGTTCTACTACGCACACTAAGAAGGACTGTTTCGAGCGGCCTAGGAAGAAAGGTGCCAAGTGGACTGGTCGAAATCTGGCCTCAGATGATTATGTACGTATCCTCGCATAGATGGAGATATTCGTATAGGGTAATCACTTGTCAGGTTGAGAACCTCGATATGGACTATGATGCTAAACATGACCGTTGGAGAGGGTAGTGAGGAAGCAACTGGTTTAGAGGTAACCGCCTTAACGTCTGTCGTAGGTATGATCCTAGTGAGTATATGGAGGTTATAAAGAATGCTGATGAAGTCGAAGAGGCTCGCAAGAAAAAGGTAGTAGTAGTAATAGTCCTCCTGGAGGGTAGGAGGTTACCTTAGGCCGAGGCGGAGGTGTCTAAGAGGCTGGCGGAGAAGAGGGCTGCTAGGCAGAGGCGACGGGAAGCAATCGAGAGGAAAAGGGCGGCTAAGAAGGCTAAACTAGCTGAGGAGGGAGGGGTAGTGTAGGGGAGTGTTGGAAGAAGGATAGATGATGTTATTGTATAGGATGCTGCTACTGGGGAAAGCGATGTCGACTCTGCTGCGGATACTGATTCTGAATCAGAAGGAGAGGGTAGTAGTAGTAGTAGTAGTAGTAGTAGTAGTAGTAGGCTGCCTCTCCAGCTCCGTATATGAATAGTCGGTTTTTGTATCAGAAGACGCACTTGATGAGGAAGGTGTGAAGGTGAAGGACTTCGATGTTCATGGTGCTGTGACTGATGCCAAGGATACCCAAACTCGTACCACTAGTCGTAACCTGCGTATTAGGGAGGATACTGCCAAGTATGCCTCTAGCCACTAGAGGTGTTGCTTCTCCCTACTCCTCATGCTTTAGGTACCTACTTAATCTGGACCCTAATTCGGCTTATTACGACCCGAAGTCTCGGAGTATGAGAGAGGACCCCTTTGCGAAAGGTAGTAGTAGGAGAGGTATGTGTTGATGGACTGTGGCTCATAGGAGCGGCGGGAGATTCCCTGTATGCTGGTGACAACTTCATGAGGGAGACGGGCCAGGCTGGGGAGATGATACAGCAGAGGGCCTTCGCTTGGTGAGGGGTGTGGGTAGGAGGAGGCGATGGGAGATGGTGATGAATTTTAGGGAAGCTTATAAGGAGGGCATTAATGTTCATGATGTGGCTAACCCGACTTTGGCGGCTCATATGTATAAAGAGTAATATGGGAGCAGGGGGGAGGAGGGCAGCGCTGATGTGCTTCGTTGCTATTGGTAAGGTATAAGGGGAAGTCTAAGGATGTCCAAAGTGAAGAGAAGCAGAAGGTGTTGGAGCGGTATGGTGGCGAGGAGCATCTGCATATACCTGATAATGTGAGCTTCCTTTCGGACTGAGTATCTGACAATTTGAGGTCACTAGCGGTTGGGACCCGGAGGAGTCGTCTGTTCTCAGTTGTGGTCGTGATCAGGTCCTCAACGCTGAACAGGAGACCTATGTGGAGTATGATCCAGTGGATGGCTCGGTGATTAAAGGTGTGTGTGGATGTGCATTTATTTATACCACATTTTCTACATATCAGGTGCTGAGAGGGCTCTGCGGAAGTCAAAGTATGTGGAGGATGAGCATGAGCTGAACCACAGTAGTGTGTGGGGTAGTTGGTTTGACAGGGCCAAGGGGAAGTGGGGCTACAAGTGCTGCCAACAGACCCTCCGGAATGCGTAATGTTGGGGAGAGAGGAAGCTGAGAATTTCCATTTTTCTATACCGTAACTTGGGCTCATCGCTTCAGGTATTGTACGGCTTTACCGTCAGAGGGTACCAAAGCTTGAACTACTCCTCCTCTCACTTGAACAGTATTACTTTGTACATTTACGGGTTCATTTTAATAAGGCTTGCGTTACTTGGAGAAGATGGGTGAAGGGCTTTAGTGATTTCCATCTGGACTTTTGGTGATGGACCCCCTTCCGGATGGTATGAAGCAGATCTATGAGTGGGAGAACACCTATATTATGGAGCCTAAGGAGAATGAACGGTAATAGTACCTTGGGGGGGGATTCGAACCTGTGCGGGAATTTGATCGCAGGTTCATACCGAATAAAGTGCGAGCAGTGTGCGAGCGTGCGATGAAGGCCAAGTTGGAGGACCGTGGGTCTATTGGGCTCGTCGGGTAGGTGTGGATAGTTACTTTTAGAGGAGTATGTGGGTGAGGAGGAGACCAAGCAATGGGTATTGGAATTGTGTGCTGAGATAAAGGACGGCGTTAAGGAGCAGTGCAATGTACCTAGACACAAGATTATGGTAGGTCCCGGGTTCGATCCGCAGCGGGGATATATTCTCATCAGGTTCAGGTTGTCATTGCGAAGAACGAGGGCCAGGGCATACGAGTGTGCAGTAAAGGATTGTGGGATGAGTCCAATGATAACTGGACATCTTATACCTTCCAAAGTGTAATAAAAATCTACTCGGTATGCACTGCTCTGAGGAGCTCAAGGTTGCGAATGGGCCGAGTGATGGTATAGTCATGGGCGTCTATATATGTGATAATATTGTCGGTTCGCGTGAACAGCAATAGAAGAGTCTTTGGTACCGTCCGTCTCGCACATAGAAGGGTCTCTGGTACCGTCCATTTCGCAGCTTATGCTTTGTTGTTCCTTAGCGCTTCCTATTGGGCACAGCAATGGTGTTTGGATGCTATTACGAGTGAAATCTTTGCATGAGCATGGTATACTTGTTTACTGTTGTACTCTGTGGATTGAATTTAGTCGCATCAGTGGGGGGATGAAGGGCCGCTCATCAGGGCATTTTCCATAGCGGTATTTCTCTTCGAGGTTTTTGGGATAGCCTTCATAATAGAGTTTTCCGAGCACAAGGAGCACAGTCCAGGATTGGTAGTGCGTCGCTCCGCTAGGGTTTTGGGCGGTATTTCGCTGGAATTGTTGTTGGGTATAAGATACTAGATCTGTCTGTCGGATAGTGTCTAGGTTCAGAAGCATAACATCTCGCTTCGTAAATGCGAGGTATATGCTACTTTAAAGGAGTTTATGTATATGGCCTTGGATATTGGTGAGACCCCATTGGAGCTGAGTTGCAACACTATCCCTAAGATGGGCGTCCCCGAGGCTCGCTCAACACATGATTCTATTGGCAACAGGGATTTCCCGTACGAGCTTAGCGATCGTTGAGTTCAGTCCCCCATAGGCCTCTTCCTGGACAGTTCTTGGGTGATGTCGGGACGGTCAGGGTCATCAGTCTCTATCGACCTCAGCTTTGGCTCACTAGATGAGCTTGTTGGTGATGGAGAGGAGGAGGAGGTGGTGGACGGTGTTGCCGTAGGGTCTGCTCGAGGAGCCTTGACGGATACCGAGCGAATGGCAGGGATCAACCATATGCTATTGTCGGTGAGTTTTCTTATCATCATTGTAATGTTCTGAGGCGATTGATTCTGGTCAGTTGGGCTTACCACAGATGAGTCTGCAAGATAGTGGGAGCGTGGTGAAGGCGGTGAGCTCTCTGCTGGGTATACGAGAGCAGGAGAGTAGACGCCGAAGGGATACTGAGGTAGTGAGGGCCTACTGTCCATCTTGATGGCTCAGTGGGGGGTAGGGGTCTCGACTCTTGGCTGACTTTGGTAGTGTCAGATCGGCCACGATGTTTGTCATGAAGTTTTGCTACGGTGGTGACCTCTGCCGACTCTACCGTTTTAGGAGAAGTTGGCGCGGATTCAGTCCGACAACAAGATGCTTACGGCGAAGGTCAAGCGGCTGGAAGAAAGAGTTGCCTCTGCCGGAGATCGGGTTAAAGAGGCCGAGGCTCGCCTCCGTAGGGCTGAGAAGGATTTTCGACATAAACTTAGCGGAGCGATGCAGGAGAGAGAGTGCGCCTTGTAGAACACTAGGCTGCTTTGACTGAGTGCCTCATCATCAGTGATTGGGAGAGGACGGCTCATCAGTACCGAGGCAGGGACCGACAGAAAGAAGTGGAGAATAGGAAGCTGGCTCAGGAGTAGTGGGAAGTCTGCTGTCTCGGCTAGCAATAGTCTATCGTCCTTTGGGTACGTCAAATTGCAGCGTCAGGCATCTGAAAGACTCGTTGAGAAGAGGTCTAGGCTCTCGTCTGGTGCTGCTTCGGATAAGCGCACGAGGTAAGGTCTCTAGTGTCGGTTGGAATATCCACATGGTGAGGAGAAAGTTCGGGGAAATTCTTGCTATTCATACGAATTCAGGTGGGAAATCATTGAGAATTTTTCCCAACATTTCCCCGATGTTTGCATACTATCACCAACACACGTAGTTGACAATGTGCATATTTTCCCACACTGCTGCTGTTGCTGCGTATGGGAGTTTGTTCAGCTGTCCACCTATGGTCGCTTCTGATCTGGAAAGCAGTGACGGCCCGGCTGATCCGGCTCGAGGCCCCGATGGTATAGGGAGGAGGATGAGGAGCCCAGCAACGGCATTCAGGTTGGGGGTGGATCTCCGAGAGGGGTATGGCTTCTTGTCATAGATTACCTACTAGTGCTGCTTATTCGAAGTATGGGGGAAGGGCCTCGGTCAGTGAGGACCGTGATGAGGGTGAGGGTCCTCATCCTAGTAGGGTGTGTGTCTGTGAAAGGGCAGCAAGTCCCCCTTAGGTAGAGAGTGGCCCATCGAGGAGGGCGACTTCGTGACTTCCATGGACCTTACGCTGAATGGGTCCAGCAGTAGAGGGTTGTCTCCCGAGTCGATCCACAGAGACCTCCTTGCTGAACATCGTAGTAGTGTAGCCTTGATCGTCTAGACATAGTCCTCTCAGCTGCTGCTGCTGCTGCTACCGGAGCCTGGGCCATGTTTGATCCTCTTACCAGCATCTACCCCAACACCACTGCTCTAGACGATGCAGGCTCAGTGTAGCTCAAACCACCTCTCCATCAGCGTATTGAGAGCTCTCGAGCAGGTTGGGGTCAGCGCGGTAGCAGACATGATGTCGCACCTGAGGAAAGGCGCTAATAATACTGTCATGATTCATCCAAATTCACACATACCCTATTTTCTTGTGCTGTAGTGTCTGAGGCATTTTCCCTTCTTTTCATCAGTTTTGCCGCTGCCTCTCTCTCGTATGGCCCTATTCGGCGCAGTGGGTGCATCTGCAGGGGCTTCCTCCACTCCAGCGGCCGTGGCGGGTGCATCGTCAGAAATCCAGCTCAGAGATGAGCCCTTCGAGTCGTTGCATCGGGACACTGTAGGCAGGCTGGTGCGGGCTGAGTCCGGAGGTAGTGCATAGAGGGGTCGCGGCAGATGGGCCTATCCTCTATCAGGCTGCCCTAAGGAAGTAGTCGGCGCTATACTGGCCCGAGCATCGCAGCTAGCCAATCCTTTCCTGCCACTGCTGATGCCCAGGGAGGAGACGATGCAGCCGCAGCAGGTATCTTAGGTTCCTCATCGTATGATGCAAAGTTGGTCCATTCAGTTGGCGTCATGGATCCAACAAAAGTCTAAGGCTGTAGAGGAGGAGGTCCAGAAGGCTGGCAAAGAGGCAGCCCGGAGTCTAGTTGGGTTGGAGAGGGAAAAGTAAGCTCCTGGCCACTCTGGGCTGCTTATTGAGATTACTAGATACGAATGGTCCCTCCTCATGTCGGATAGTAGCATACAAGTAGTTGATACCGTGTCGAGGCTCACTAAACTGCACCAGCATACGGTAGGTGGTGGTCTCGTAAAAGGGCAGTTTGGACGGGTGCTGCTGTTGGCAGGTCTGCGGACTAGTGGCGAAGGCAATGAGTCTTGTGATGGGAGACAGCGTCATGAGGGTAGCCAAGGCTGCTGATGATGATAGTCGCGAGAGCACCAAGGAGGTTACTGACTTAACGGTGAGTGGCACTGTCTCTCTCATAGATGAGTAGACGCCTCTTGTCAGGTCCGGCTCTTCCTCAGAGAGTGGTATCATCTGTGTCTATGTCTTAAGGATATCCTTCTGGCCTCCGATCGGGGACAGCATGAGGCTAGTATGATCGTTAGAGAACTGGGTAACTCTACCGCTTCCTAGGGTGTACATGCATTACGTGGAGTTAGGTCGACTGGGGCTGGCCAAGTCCCTCTGTACGGGCATAGCCTCGGTGCTGGCCTCTCTGGAGTCCACACAGCAACTACAGGGGCAGATGGGTATACCCCAGAGGGTATCAGAGTAAGCCCTCCATCCTATGCTGTGGTAATCTCGATGGCCTTCATGTAGCTACCTGGTCCGCCCTATCACCACCACACTGGTGGACTGTTGTGTCTTGGCATTCTCCCTTGTCGAAGTCACAGGCACCGATGAGATTGAGGCAGCTCTGGCCCTGATACCGCAAGTGAGCACTGCATGGCTCATCTCGAGTGAGCTCATCCCCCCTCCCTTCGTAGACGGTAGCATCCACTGTATCGCTATCGGCCCCTGTGCCCTTCGTCCTCGGCGATCTGGAGCTGTTGGCCCCGGGGATGTTGACGGTTGAGCCCCACCAGGCGGAGGGAACTATGGGGGAGATGAGGTCCTCCATCATTATACATAATGCCGCTGCACATGCTTGTGTCATCATTCAGCTTTTCGCCACCCGTAAGACTCTCACAGAGACTTACCCTATACATGGCCATGGCGATAATGGGGGCTCTGGCCCCGAGTAAAAAAAGGATGCAGAAAGCGCAGACACAGCTCACTGTGGAGAATATGTACCCTATAGGTAAGCTGAGTACCCTGCTGACCATAGTATCTTCGATGTGCATGAAGTGGGGACGATGCTGGTTGTCCAGATACCTCAGCAACAGCGCCAAGTGGTGACGCACGGCAGCCTGCCAGCAGCGTCACCAACAAGTTTGGCTCCGACTACTGGTCGACAGATTATGACACTGGTCGTCTCCTAGCCTTTGCCTGCACTGTAAGTGGTTGCCTCTCTGGGCCTATGAAAGTGTCCTTGGCAGGGCATGTATGGGTGCGGTGGTAAAGATGAGGACAGTAGCAAGGTGGAGAGGACGGCACTGGTGTACTGGGATATTCTGGGCTACGTACTAAGCTACCTACTGACACAGTCATCTGCACTAGTGGTCCCCTCTAGATACAAGATGATGTTATTCCGTGTGTGCTAATGGCGGGGAGTGACTCCTCGAACAGCCCTGGGCTCGTCCTCTCCTGCATACTAGATAGCGTGGTGTCAGCTTTGGTGTTGCCCTTGCATCGGTGGACTAGTCTCAAGAGACTGGAAACACATGCGTAAGGCTGCTGTTGCCACTGGGGGGAGGGTCGCTAATGCAGCCATTCTCAGGACTAAGTATAACCTATTGCCGCCTCCCCAGGCTGCGAATGTCCCTAATCGGCCGACCAGGAACTACCTGCAGATCATGGTCATCAAGATCATCACTAGACTCTGCCTGGTATGCATCATGGAGTGAAGATCTTCGTCGTGTTGGACGCTCCTTATTCGGTGTTAGGTGTCGGACAGAGCGTTGAGCCAGAGTATGTGTATGCGGTATAAGGATGTGGTGTTGAATAAGACGGAGAACTTCCATCCAACAGCGACCTTCACAGAGGCAGCAGCAGCAGCTACTACCGCTATACCTCCTCCCGGGCGAGGTGCTGTCCACTGCTCCCATACGCGTACCGGCAACCCATTCCGTAGGTGCCGCGAGCCCCTACGACTACCCCCCTGGATACGGCCCTAATGCGGCCCCTAATGTCGTTACGCTCTTCCTCTCACTGGAGTATGCCGCTGTGCTCGACATGTGTACGTGTATGGTCACTCGATTACCCCAAGGCGAGGCTGCGGTCAAGCAGGTGAAGCGGACGGTATGGGCGCGCATAGTGTTAGTATTGCTGTTGTCAGTTCGTACAGAAGCTGGAGCATCATCACAACCCTTGGTTCAACGTAGCCAATATGCACGACCATCTGCGGAAGATCCTCAAAGCGGTGACTCTCTCGTCTCATCTCGGCTCTCGTGTCACCATTCCCCACAGGTCCGTCAGAGTGCCATTTCGGGGACCTTGCAGACATCGGCTGAGGACGAGGCGTCAGAGGGGGTGCTCTTGGTGGCGCCCGCCCTCATGCGTATACTGTCGGCTTGTGCTGATGTCGGCGAGGTAGGTCTGTTGTATTGCCAAACCCTGTGCCGCCCAGCGTTTGGTCGTGCTAGGGCGCTGTCACATCGTGGCAAGGCGGAGCCACTCTGGTTGAAGTCTTGACTGGTGCACCTCCTTATTCTGTACTGGCTCGCAATGAGTAGGAACGTCGACCTTCGCCATGGGCTCCCCTCTGAATGTTTTTCTCAAGGGTAACGATCGCTTGCCTCACCGGGTTGGCCTATGCTAGACCTAGAGGAGTGGACACTGCCGCCCATGCTAGAGCGGTACTCCAAGCTATCATACAGCGGACGACTTTGCTCAACTCCTTGCCTTCACCGGACAATGGGGTAGGTTCGCTCCTCACCGCAGTGTTGTGCTGCTCATCATCACCCCTTCCTCAGGAGTCCCCATCAGAGGTTTCAGCGGCTCTCGTCAGGCTCATCACGTCACTCTTCCAACGCCTGCCGGAGTCTCAACGATGGTCCCCTGGGCAGCAAGCGGAGGCGTGGGTGAAAGTCTCGGACCATGTGGTGGGAACCTTCCGTGTGGTTGTTGTGTGTTATATCTCCTTTCAGGTCAATCGGCTCCTATCTACTCGAGGGAAGTCCTCTGATGAGGTGCAACTCCTGTCTATGAGGTGGCTCTTGCGGATGATCCTAGCGCCCTCCCAAGAGACCGAGGCATTCGTCTACGTCACCCGATGCCTGCTAGCTCTGGAGTCGCCGGTCTTCGCTGGGGTTGCTGCTGCTATCACTTCGAAAAATACGGCACTGTCCGAGACCGCTGTCGAGCTCATTGCGGCTTGTCTTGAGCGAGACCCTCGTAATGTACCAGAATGTGTCCCCGCGCATAAGCAGGTGGTGCTTGCCAAGACCCCTGATGGTGTGCCCCTGTTGGCCCACCTCCTACAGAGTCGTCAAGCTAGCAGTAGGGCTGGTCTCGCCATCCTCTCGACCATGTGCGCCAGGGCCCCCAATGCTATCAGGGCCATATTCGCCCTGCACCCCTCAATGCCGAGACAAGCCTCTCTGGCTCTAGGCAGGATACTCCTATCGTCAGGGACACCATCGGTCTATGACTCTGCTGGGGAGGTGCTGCGATATGACTCGCTGCTCCCCATATGCTGCATTACCAGTCTGTGCCGTTATGATGCACGATATGACCTCCCTCGGTTACTGCTACTACGGGAGGTTGCCAGGCAGGTCGACCAGCGCCCGCTCGTGCCGAGTGGGGAAGGCTTGGTCCGTTACGTCGATCGCTGCGTCCGGTGGAGTCCAAGCAGACTGCAAGCCTTCGGCAAGCTGAGTAACGATGCCTCGCGGTGGTTGGCGCTTAGTACCCTCAACCGGTGTGAATCTGATCTGGCACTACTCTTCCTGACTGGCGGCGAGGAGCATATCGCTGATACTTCCTCTGGGGAGCTCTCGGGCCTGGATGCACTATTCTTCCTGCTTGACAATCCTCCGCCACCTACGGCATCCTCAGAGGCCAATGCTCTCTACTCATATTTGGTGGAGTGTGTATGTGGATTCCTGTCCTCTGGGAAGGGCGCCCTCGAGGGGGCGGTCCTACGGTATATCTCCTTTGCTTGGTCAACCCGGTATGACACACTGCGTACAGCCCTGGAGGGCAAGGACCCCATCTTTGCAGCAAGGTTACTAGAAGTGTTGGCCGCCGAGCTCTCTCATTGTGCAAAGGATGCCAATGTTGAAGTCTTCCGAGACGTTGCGGCGACTTTCTTATCAGGGCTGAGTCGTGATGATAAACAGCCGCTGCTGCTCTCGTTGATAGGAAGTCTGCTTCGGGAAGCCGAGAATTTCAAGGTGGGCGAGCTCCCGAATCAGGGGCTGCTCCTGTTATTGCCTCTTCAATCAGATACCGGAGATCCCCACAGAGTTCCAGTCTCCATTGGTCGCGTGTTTGCGCGCTGCTATAGAGGCGGATCGTCTCCCGGGTGGTCTGTGTGACCCTGAAAGATATCTCGTCAACGTCATTCGAGAGTTCAAGATTGACGTCCCACGCACAGGGGAAGAGCTAGAGCCCCCGCTCCTCCGGGGCACGAAGGTAGGCTCCGTCCTATCGCCATCCTTGGATATCGATACCCTTCCAGGCCCTTTCGACGCGAGAGATGTATCGTCCAGCTTTGGTGCTCCTTGCGACGCACAATGCACGACAATCGGTCCTCTTAGGCGCTGATTTATTGCAAACATCCATCGTTCGAGTGAGACAAGCTGATCGTAGGGCCCTCCCCCCATAGGATAACTTTTCCCCCTCAGTTTCTTAATACAGCAGTAATATACTTACCAACGTCATCATCAGAGCCAACTCTCCACGTGTTAGCCGAGGCGGCTCTTGCCTTGGTTGCCGAGGGCGGCCCTAACCGCTCACCGTATATCTTCCCGGTGAGCAGCAAGGATATCTGAATGCTCTTGGTTGTGGTATCTCGACTTCAGATTGTGTCACGACTAATGTCTCTGCTGTATGCCCGCTCTACAACCATCAATAGCGCCGCGTCAGCTCTGGCAGCTGACGGTCATGTCGCTCGGCAGACAGCATCCTCATCAGGTAGGGTCCCTTCACGTAGTATGCTGTTGAACCTCTTAGTTCTCTCAGGGGTTGTCGCAGCGGAATGGCTGAGAGGATTCCTCAAAGCCCTCACGCCACCAAAGTTGCGTGAGCTCTCAGATACTGTCATTGAGCATGCGTAGGAACTGAGCAGTTTCTCCTCTTATGTTTGAACACTCCTGGGCTCCTTTTCCAGGCTAACAGTATGTTTGATTTTGCTGCTTCGACTGAGCGCTACGTCCTGTGAAGACCTCCTTCACACGTTACTCGATGGACCTCTACTCTACGTGTTCCGGGAAGTTCTTCCAAAGAGTTCAACCGCTAAGAGTGAGCTACCTCCAGCTACTTCGACTGTAACTCGCTGTTTTCAGGTCTTAGTTACCTCTGCCTTGCGCTCTTGTCCTTGATCGTGCGACTGGCGCCATCGAATGACAGAGGGATTGAAGACTCCATTGAGGCAGACTGGCAACCTATTCAGTGTGTAAGTTCCTCGAGGATGACTACTCCCTATGATCTAGTTCCCATTCACAACCTCTCAGGCACTACTGGCCTCAAAGTCTCCTCTGGCGCTCTCAACACTGAGTCTCATCGTACAGAGGTCTGCCGCTCTTGCTCGAACATTTGTGGAGTACAACGGATTGAAGCAACTTCTGGAAGAGGGCCGTCACCAACCGGAAGAGCTCTTACAAATATCTTCTGTGGTGCTGATGAAACTGCCGTATTATACACCAGCTGAGTGAGCTCGGGCGGTGGGTGTCTCCCTCTGGACTGCATCCCTCCCCTTCAGGTCTCTCATCCAAGATTGGCATCGTCGTCTTCGAGCCTCTCCCGATCCGTCAGACCTTCTCAAGTCGGCATGGCCTGATTTATATCCCTGATGAAGCTTGATTTCCATCGGTGTCGACTACCTCAGAAAATCAGCAGTGTCCTGCAACGTATGATTCTATTCTCCATATTCCCCATGGTGGCTGCGTTATATCCAGTGCTATGTTCATTATTCGCTACCGCCATCTCGGCAACACGTGTTCAGATGTGTCAAACACTCACATGCGACACGTGGCGTGTCAAGTCCCAGTAATTCCTCTTACTCTGATCTCGTTACTTACCATTGATCATCTATAGGACCGTAGTGCAACTTACCATCGATCAACAAACGAGTCATGAGAGTTGCGTAGCGAAATTGTGTTCGTTGATGCTGTGAACAAGGGCGTTTCACGATATGGAAAACACTAATAGGAAACATATCGACTACTGCATATCACCGCAAATGTCGGGTTTTTCACTGAGTATTACGCCACTTCACGTAAAACGGATGGAACTCCAATATATTAATCACAGACTCTCAAGCTGTGTCGACATGTATCAACGCACTGCTTGTATGGGTTACGGAGCACATCTCAATAAGATGAATGTGCTTACGGTGCACGGATGTCGTTGTCAATCACGTTTGAATCGAACATCATAATTTAAATAGGTTGATTCGATGATACGCAGACACTTAGGATGGCATCCACCACTGAATGCCCAGTGAAGCTGCAAATGCTCTTTTTTTGCTCAGTAAAGTCTGTAACGCTTCGAACTCCGGATAACTTCGCCACCCAAGAGAGAGCAAGTCTGTTAGTTACTCTTCCACACAACATATAATATGAATGAAAGCTCCCAGTTACGTATAGTGCATTTGCAACTAGTATACGCTAAGGTAAAGCCTGACGTCTTTGTGTTGAGGCAACACCGACACTCCACATCTCCCATAGTAGGACACAATGATTGGTTGTCTACAGGTTGATGGAAACGTATCTTCCAAGAGGAGATCCGTCACGTTTACAACACTTCCAAGTATACCGTCAATATCCAAGCTTCTTCCGTAGTGCTTCCTGCTTTTCATCACTATGAGCCGGCGGCATCCACGTGCTCTCCTCGGCATCCTCGTCGTACCGTGTTGTGGGAACCTCCGGCCAAGAAGCATGTCCAGCTCCCTGATAGACTCCAGTGAATAACCATCTGACCACTAGTTGCAGGGACCTACTTCCTTTTCCGGCTTGGACTCCTCAATTTGAGGCTCAACTGCCTCTCCCCGTCCCTGTATGCCGCCTACAGTGGGATCTATCGCAGCCACTCCTGATGATAGTGTCCGACCCGACGACACCTAGATAGTGAGAGAAAATCAAACTCACGAATATGATGTATAACATCCTCGTATAAAAAATGAAGTTTCACCCGTTTACCGTGAAGTGGCATAATACTCCATTTGGTAAATAAAAGGTCCTATAATATAGGAGGTATATATTTCCGCGACCGAGTACACAATCGTTTTCCGTGAAGTGAATCATGAAGAATGTTTGACAGGTAAAACTCCAATGTAGTGTGCGCCCAAACATAACCCTGTCCCACTAGTGCCTCTAAGGCACTGCCTCAACCTCCAGTGTCATTCACCTATCTATACGTTCAATACAGATTCCAAGCTTCCCATTATAGAAGTCGAAAGCGCAGCAAGCAGCTACTCAGCCTCGTAATAATTCACAATTCGTTCGTCGTCTAAACTCACATGTTGTTGTTGTTGTCGCATAAGCTCCGTCCTCTTCTCTATTGCGGCTTTCGTCAACTCATCAGCCTCGAGCTCCAATCCGAATATAGAATCCGTAGGGACCTACCCCATATACCTACCCATCGACCTTCTCCATATCCCTACTCACCTCCTTCCTCGCTTTCTTACGGCGTTGGGCTTCCTCCTCCTCCTCTTCCTGCCTCCTCGCAGCCTGAGCAGCTCGAGCCGCCCTCTTCACCTTGAGCTCCTCCTGCTCCCGCTTAGCCTGTTCAACCTCATCCACCGATGTGCTGCCTGCCATCGCGAGGGAGAGCAACTTCGTTATACCTGCAACCTCCTAAAGAACTGCAGCCAGGGGGGAGGGGAGCTCCTACTCTCGAGACGATCTTTGATGGCCATTCCGCGCTTCTCGGCAGCCTCCTTCTCGGCTTCCATCAACTTCACCTCATTCTCAACCATGTAGGCATCGAGGGAGTCGGCCTGCATACTCAAAGGCAGAGTTCGAATATATGTTTGCTTTTCTCAGCTGAGCTCAGTAGTCTCCTCACTAATTATCGAAGTTTACATACAAATTCGGGTAGAAGTGTACAGAAACCAATGAGAATTTCCCAAAATTCCCTCAGGATTTCCATATTGTCAACAACACATGTAGTTGAGCATGCGTATTTTTTCCCCTCACACTGCCCTAAAGGGACCCACCAACATACCCTACCCGAGATGCTGATGCCTTCTTCATAGCAATTTGTGCCTCCTTCTGCTTCACCACCGATACAGCTTCCCGTAACAGACTTATTAGTGCCTGACTCCACTCCACTCACCCTCTTCCTTTCCCCCCTTGCCAACCTTCTTTTTCTCCGTCAAAGTCTTGGCCGTCTCCCCCTCAGCAGCGACATCCGGTAGATCGCCATACTCGCCTGCCTCCTCCCCTACAGTGTCACCATCCATCACTCACGTGTTCTACTGCATCACCGTGATGAGATCGCTGAGCTCCATCATCAGAGGCCTCTCGGCGCGCCATCTCTGCCGAGGCCTGGTCGTAATAATCATCCTCCTCGTCCAAGGCCAGGACGTCGGTGTCGTACAGCTTTGTGAGCTCCTTCTGAAGGAACAATAACATTTCCAACGCTCCCGAGCTGATCGTTGTAGGGATGATAAAATGCTGTTATTAATAGCCACATTCTCCTTTATTTCCTTTGAAGTGCACATATAAGCCCACCCTTTTCATCCGGTCCCGCATAGGGTTCTTGACCCCCAGGGACAGCAACAAGTTGTCGGTCATCGTCTGTAGGTCTGCCTCTATTCGGCTCACTCTATTGAATAGCTTATTAGCATCCTGACAACAATCACCCTCATCCCAACACCGCCGTCCACGTATGTCACTACTCCTTGGAATTTCTTCTGATGCGTACTTTTTATCCGCTCAACTTCATCCTCAAAGGCTCCAGTATTCCGCCAAGAAGGAACACCTCAACAACAGCAGCAGCACTACGGCTCGACCAACCCAGACCGACAGCACTCACTTGGCCCTCCTCCTCCTCCGCCCGCCTCCATCTGGGCAGTTTCTAACATCTCGCGGTTGCTCTCGAGCTTTCGCCGTTTCTGATGAGGGAGCCTTCGAAAGACTGACGCAGACTGTTGACTCACCTCAGCGATCTTCAATAACAATTGTCGTTGCTTGTCGTTGAGCTGCAACTGCTCCAATTTACGCGTGTCAATCTGCAGGCCCGTCTCGTCGAAGACGTCCAGCTCTGCGATGGGATGACCAACAACAGCCAGCATTGTCGGACCCACCTTTAGTGAGCTCGTCCTGTGCATCAGCTTCCATCTGAAGAGAGTAGCCCGTACAGTTGCCATGCCCCTATCCCCCTACCATAGCTTCCTCTAGTCCATCATCCTCCCTCACTCCTCGAAAGACAGTCCCGCCAGGAGCTGCTGAGGAGGACGAGGCGGCCCCGACCACCGCCGCTATCTGAGTGATCAAGCGATGCAATTCCCCCTCCCCCCTTCGCTGCACCTTCTCAGCTCGACGATCTGCCCGTTCTTGTTGCCGCATCGCCTGAAAGCCTCAATCAAAAAGAGTATTGAGAGACCCCAGCCCCTCCGACCCGTCTCCGCTCTCGATCACGCTCATGCCGTTGGCGCTCGATCTCCCGCTCGGACTGAGCCTCCTCTCGGAAGGCTGCAAGATCAACCTGAACAGAAGGGCCCTCCCGAAGGGAAGGATTCAACGACACCACCAACCTCCGTCTCCTGAGGGCGGAGCTCTTCCGGGCCTTGGATCACCAACGTGAGCTTCGGCGACACACTGCTGAACTGTACTTGATCACCCACATGCACTTCTACATACTACCAACAGCAGCAGCTCCAACAGGTCGACCAACGACGACTCGCCTCACCTCCCCAGATGGAATCCTCTTCCCATCCACCACAGTGCCATGGGTCGAGTTCAGATCGTATAAATAGAAAGACTCCGCACCCTGCGAAATACGATACGGATGGCGGCCAATGCACTACAGACTACTACTTCTTTGAACTGGAGAACGGCGTGATGCCTGGAACTCCGGGGTTCCCATTTGCCCAGAGGAATGTCACAAACCGCTGGGTCCCGACCGAACATAAAATAACACTTCTTTTCATCGCGTATATCAACTTCTCGCAACACCTGAGCACACCCCTACTCCCCTGCCGACGAGGCGATTCCTCCACCTGGCCGTTGGAGATGAACTCGAGATAAATCGGCAACCTGGCCGGGCCCGACCACTCAGGTTCGCGATAGACCGCAGTGGTGGGGACGCCAGCCATTCCGCAATACCCACTACTACCAATGCTTATGGAGGAGGACTATGGAGCGCAACCCTTACAAGAAAGAGGCGTTGAAACAGGTGCGGTAATGATAGAAGACAGTCATCGTTTGGATTTCTCCCCGATCTTCCTTCCTCTACTATCAATCTGCGGACTCTGCTGCTGCACTGCTGTTCCTGTGAGAGTCTTCGCAGCCTCCCTCTCCTTCCGCATCCTACGCTCCTTATGGGTATACGTACTCGTACCTACCTCCTCACAAATCACTACCAACCACAGTGTGGCCAATCTGTGTTCACTCTCCTCAGCTCTGCTCGGGAGTTCCCTCAACTACTATGAAAGTGTACAGAAAACCAAAGAGAATTTCCCCAGAATTTCCATATCGTCACCAACACATGTAGTTGACCACGTGCAAATTCTACCGCGCCGAGCAATAACCTTCCCCCCCCCAAGTCCCCCACCACTATCCATCATATTCTTCAATCGCCGTGTCTCCGCCGCGGTACATGTCCGCCACACAGTCACCCGTTGATTCGGTTGTAGCTGCTTCCAGCAGTCCAGCGAAGATATTTCCTTCACCCCCTCAAGGTCGGCAATACTAAGATACGGTCCGCCATGAGGCACGTCGGTAGAGCTCTTACCTCATATCATAAGTGACATTCCCACTCTCCTTCAACGCCTTCTTCAACAACTGCATATTCCTCTCATCTCGGGCCTGTCTATTCTTCTTCTGAATTTCACCTACACTCAGAATACCCACCAGCCGCCTCCCCGAAACCCCTATTACAATAGTCATCAGCGAAGGCCTCGAAGAGGGACATCCTCTCCCTCTCCGTCAACTTCCCCCACCAGGCCTTGCCAGTCATCTCCTTATCCCCAGCAAGTTGCTCATACCTGACCCGACCAATCCCATCCTCCTCCCGTCGCCACCACAGTGGCTGATCTACTTCGCATCCTCCGTCATGGCCTTCCACTGCTGTAGCGCCTTCACCATCTCGTACATCATCATTCGCTTCTCGTCCCGCTGAAAGTTTGGCACGCACGTAATGGAAAGTCGACAGACCAAAAGCTCTAGCCTAGTTGCATACCCACACAGCTTCCGAAGCCTTCAAAATACAAGTAAACGATACGATGATGACAATAACAGTAGAGCGCGTACACCACCGACTCAGCAACAGACTCCCTTCTACCTCCTTTTGCTGAGCCAGTCTCTGTGCGTGCAGAAGGTACTCTGCGAAAACTTGTTTTTTCTCTGCAACAGTCGGGAGGGCGTGATACCTGAGAGGAGACCACTGCTGTCACCACTGCTCGAGAGGGGCTGCTGAGCACCTCATATCCTTCTTGGCGAGATCTGCTACTTGACTCCACTTCCACGATAGGTCCACTCCGTTGTCAATGAGCATTTGTCGGAAGTCGGCCCTTTTCTCGCTCTCCGTTTTATTAGCCTTTTCACCACCTCCCACCTCTTCCCCCAGACTACCACTATTACCCTCTCCCATCATATCCGAAGAGCCACGGTCCACCCCACCTGAAGATGCAAGGGGAAGATACTCATCGAAGACTATGAAGCAGGACTAGCCGCCTTCCCCCTTCTCTAAACAAGTGCTATCCGCAAGCACACACACGTCACCCTTACACTGCTATTGTTATATTCATATGTATCAAGCAGTCGGGAAAAATCGAATAACCTTATACCACTCCTCCCTAACATCAGGCGTACCTTCGAGAGCTCCTCGTGCTTTCCGAACCGCCGGAGGGACTTCCCAGCAGGACACGTACGTTCGAGGGTTGTAGAAGAAAGAGCGGCCATCCCATATGTGATACTCCTACGGAGATTCAGTTGAATAAAGCCTCCCCAAAACTATCCATTACTTTCCACTCAGTGTCATTAGCCTTCTCTACTTCTGACTGAAGGTCCCTAGGCTTTTCCCAAGTGGACTCCTTAGTGGTCGGATGGAAGTAGTATACTCGTCCGTCAGAGGTTTGCACCTGCAGGCACACCATCTGATATCGAGAACAAGGACTTGACTATTAGTACCTCACACCATCCCATCTGAGCAGGGGTGACCAGCTGGCCAGTCGTTGGAGCTCCGAAGACCCCTTCTGTTGGGGAGGGTGTCGGAGGCACCCCCATAGGGAGGGGAGGCATAAGTAAGGCACCCGGGGCAGCTGACAATACAACAGACATGGTGAAGCCCTGAAGGGTAGTACTACTACCTGTAAGAGGCGGGGGCATCGGCACTGGAGGAGCCGGGGGAGGCAGTATCGGCCCAGTGGAAGCACCTATACACTCGAATGGACAGTGAGCCTAAGCAACAGTAGAGGCTACCCGTAGGGGCCTTAGGTGGCAGAGGAGGGGGGATGCCGGGTATCATACAGGGACACCACGAGAACTGCCAACAAGATATACAACGAAAATATGCGATGAACGCGAGCCGAAGAGAAGGAAGGTGAAACGGTGACGAGCATTAGGGAACAATAGTGGCTGTAGCTGTAACCCAATCAGCGATCGTGTCGACTATATCAGCATCCTCAGTGGTGCCCTTCCCTACAGTGGCCGCGCTGTACTCCACAACGTCCACCTTTACTGGAGCATGCTGGATAATACTGAGGAAGGAGCTTCGATGAGAGTTAATGGCGTTTCCTATACTACTCGAAAGCCTCTCCTTCTACTCCCAAAAAGTTATCCACTTCATCGTCTCCTTCCAATACTTGGCCTCGTGACGTCCTCAGCCTCTCTCTGTGATAACAACACTCATAATCGAGCACAGTTCCTCCGCCTCCACTCGAACCAAGGACAGCTACAGCGCCTACTAGGGCTATCACCCGGACTCAACGAAATCAACGGCATAGACCGCTTACTCCTGCTGATACGCAGACTAAAGATCAGCAGGTGATTTCAGCCAGTAAGTATCCTTATTCAAGAAACGCTTCTATTCGGTTGGAGGGCAAGCGCCCTTCATATGATAGTTGATACATGCTACCCCCCAGGAATCCCATTGATGTTGTTCCATACTCCCCACCTTTATTACATTTCCTTATTCAGATCTCCCAAAACACGCCTCGTTGTCCGACTCGTCGGCTTATCCTGTTTGTTCATAACCTAACGTAAACCTCAGCTACAACATCTTCCTCCCTTCAATGCCTACTACCAGTAGCATCGGTGGGAGATGTTTCAAGAACAGCTGGTTGGTAAAAAGATCATACAAACTCCTGAATAAAAGAATCACGATGAAATAGAATCGCGCTATTACTCTGCGGCCTCCTTGACCATAGCCCTGTCGGTAGAGTCCAATATATAACAAATACAGGCACAATTCCTTAGCAATTCGTAACTCTCGAACTTCAGCCGTCTATGTCCCGGGAAGTCCACCACCTATGTCAATCAACTCCATCTAGGAGGCCGCCACCACAGTAGACTACCTCCACCTTCCTTCCAGTCGGTAGAGTAACAACATCCCTATTAGGCCGTATTGACGATACTGTCTCTGGGTGGGAACGACCCTACAATGTCCACCAAACAAAGTCCAATAGTAGTAGTAGTGCTATTACCTTCCACCAAGAGAAGAGTGCCGTCTTGCCTCCACCACATGGGCCCATAAGTAGTACTAAAGTGCCCTTCTTATCCCTCCTCCTCCTACCTCCCTTCGAGGTAAGACTAGATGACCAGAAGCCCAGTACATAGAGGCTGGCTGAAGAGAGAAGAGAATAAGTAATGCTCATGCCAACATATAGGAGGAGGAGGAGAAGGAGGGTGGTATTTTATACGCCTTCACTATTATTTCGGGGCAGCTATGCCACCATCCGAAGGGATGTTTTAGTGAGACCAATTCTGTCGGACGGGGCAGCTATGCCAACCCAAGATCTGCCTTGGGACAATCGATTTCTCCGGGCTGAGCAGCTATGCCACCCCAAGATCTGCCTTGGGACAATCAATTTCTCCCCGGGGGCGGCTGTGCCAACCCAAGATCTGCCTTGGGACAATCAATTTCTCCCAGCGGGGCGGCTATGCCATAGCAAGATGTGCCTTAGTAGAATCAATTTCTCCACGCGGGGCGGCTATGCCATAGCCCAAATGAATGCGTCAATAGAATCAGTAGTACGAGCATGAGATATGACGATGATTCCCGTTAGCACGACCAAAGTAACCAAAATTTAAACGGATTGCGGAGATCAATTTCGCTTTTGGTGAGACCGGTTCCCTCCAAGGGGCAGTCCCACGCGAAAGTGGTCTTACTAACACTGAGATATGCCTCTGAAGGGTTACCGGTCCAAGACGATACTATACTATGTTCAAAAAGGAGTACCTTCCAAGTTATTACCAAATAAAAGTCCAGCCAGGAGTACTGCAGTGGCTACTATGACGAGGTAGTAAGACTGGACCTCATTGAGACCAGTAACAGCCGACACACTGTGGCCACTCTCTGACAACCACGAGGATATTATGGTCATACTAAGGATACTCTAGAAACAATACATACATCTTTGACACAGGCCCACCCCTCTCGTCCACACCACACCATTCCCACACAGGAGTCACGACTAGGGATAGTATGGCGTTCCACAGAAGTGCATCTTCCACCCGCTGCGTCACGCGCCACGAAATTATACTTTACTTCAACGATATCGACGAGGTTATACGAGATTATCTCGGGCCCATGTAGAGTCTGTGATGATAAATGTACATATCTGTCAACCTGAACTGTTCACCCAATAGCTCTGTTGTATAGGAGCTTCCTCTGTGTTGAAATTGTCCTACGAAATACCATTGATACTCATTGGGGTCCTAACCCTATCCACGGAGCCGGTTTCCTTCAACAGGCCAGGAACTCGCTCAATAACTCAAAATACGTATGTTACGCCGAGACCCATTATGACGTGTTTTGTCCATGATGACATGTCTTCGTTAAAGTACTGCTAGTCCCCACCCCTGCAATGTCTGGTTATGTTACCCTCGGCGGCGGTGACTCCGGTTCAACAGCTATCAACAACCGTCACCGTACGGACTTCCTAGAAGATTCTGTGTCCGATCGTAGCTCTTCATCGATCGATAAGGAGACCATAGCGGTAGGTGTTCAGTCTTGTCCCAATACGCAAATATACCCCTCAGGTTGGCCTAGTCCGAGAAGGGCTCGCTATGGAGTATAGCATCATAATAGGGGTCCTCAACTCAACGTTGACATTACTTTATCTCGCACTACAACTACTACTATGCTACCCTGGCACCACTGAGCGATGGATCGGCCCTGTGGTGTTGCTGATTATAGCTCCTCTGTAATGACAGCATAGAGCTTCACTCGAGGTACCTAGTATCCTTTAGGTTCCACCTACTATGGTCCATCCGTTACCGTGGTATGCACCTGCGGAAGCTCAACGCCCACAGTATGCATCGAGCCACTGGTATAGTTATGAGGGAGTCGTCGTGGGAGTCGTTGGAAATCATCTTCCAACTCTCCTGCCTCGTCATCGTCATTGTCTATGCCGTACTAGATCTATTAGGGCAGCCGTCCGCGGGTGTAGTGATCAGCATTCTCTCGCTGGTCACCTTTGTTCGCCTCATCTACGACCTCCAGGGAATACACGAGGCCTCCTTGGGGAGGGTCTTCAATAGTGTCGTTGTAGAGGCATGGAACCCTCTGGTAGCCTGCCTGCTCATCTTCGTTATCACTACGACTTGTGGTATATTATCAGCCCATTACATTGCGCAACAATCGAGTGTCATCAACGGCTTGGTGATAACCTTAGCAGGATTCGTCGATGGAGTGGTATGTGTAACGGCCGTCTGTTCATTAGTCCACGCCCACAGCATAGTCATTGAAGATGCTGAGAGGTCACGTCTATGTATCAACAACCTTGTCGTTAGGAGCAACTCCTTACTGAGGGACATTCAGCTCTCGTTCAAGCATGCGATGAAGCTGAATGAAGTCACTGGTCTAACATTCTGGCAGCTACTACGACTCATCGACGGAAGCTCAGCGAACTACCGTTCAAGCGCATCTCATGACGTGGAGACGGCCACAGTACCTAAGTCGGACCACGCCCACAATGGGGAGGTGGCCTTCTGTGATGATAGGATTCTTGGTTGGGAAATAATGATGGATATGGCTGGGGAATCTAGAGGCTTGTCACTCTGGCGCTACCTCACAGAGGACTGGGCGGAGGAAAGGCTGGAGACCATTGCTCCTTCTCCAGTGCCGAGGCTGCCTATTGTGATGGCTGGCTCAGCCTATACGGGAACTAATGGTAGTAAAGGACATCCTGATGGGCCGAAAAAGTCAGTCGTTCTCTGCTCCAGATCATGGGTTACCATTACCAGGTGTGGTGACTCGTGCCAGCAGACGCCAGTCTCCAGAGCCGAGGATTAATCCTAGGAGGCACCGTAGTAGACCCATCGGGCCGGTTACGACCTATGAGGAGAGCTACAAGAAGGTGAGCGCGTGTTGACAGAGGAGTGGTAGGTGGCGATCGTTGTCAGGGCTATAGTGAACAGCTACGATACCAACGAGAGAACTCCGTTGCTACTACTGAGTCGACGCCTATTGATGGAGGTGTGAAGCAGAAATCGAGAGGAGGCGGTAAAAAGAAACATCATCAGAACAGTTCCAAGAAGTCTTTCCTGAATCGTCTGAGGGATGCCAATAATCTCCCGCCCGCCTCCACAAAAGGAGCTGCCAATTCACCAGCTAGGGCTGTTCATCGGCCTCGGTAGTCGGAGGCAGCTGTACATTTAAATCGTGCTATCTTCATCACCAATTCTGATGTGGTTTCTTACATGCCGTGGTCTTGCTCATAGTGCGTCATTGGCGGAATTTCGTGGCGCGTGAAAAGCCTGTATTGGGGTCTCGCGTATGATACTAGTTCTCCAGGGATTGGCACGTGCTCTACGATTAGGAGTATGTCCGGTTATGGGCCTATAGCGGAGATTCCCGCTTCCGCTTTCCCCGCCGGGGAAAGCGGCCTCAGGAGAGCGGCCAAGAGGATTGTCATAGTGCTGCCTAGTCCTTTCCCGGATGAGCTATTCACGAGCTGCATGTCATGCCTTCATGGAACTTGTGCTCGACCCGGCTGATGAACGTCCCTCCTTAGCATCAGGATCGCCCTGGATGAGGCATCGACATGTGAACTCTTTCGGTATCTACCCCGCGCACGGCACATTTTTCTCCGCCCGTCACCTTTCTCTCTCCTTCCGCCACTAATTTCCCCCTCCGCGCCTCTGACAGAGTTAGGGTCACCCTAACTCTAATAGGGTGCACTTGCCCTACATCAGAGACCTATTCGAGCTGGTACGAGTGCCTCAGAGCTCCGAATTGTCTGTAGATTAGCTCTACCTGCAGCGGATCGGGAATGCCCTATGCTGTACTAATTAAATAGGTCTCTCCGTGCGTTGATGAGCCAGAGAAAGCATTCCAAAGGCTAGAAATGCTAGCTTTGGCTCCCCCAGGTTGGCAATGCGCCCCGGATTAGGAGTCTGAGATGAAGAGAAACGGACTATCAGGGACCTATTCGAGGTGGTGCGAGTGCCTCAGAGCTCCGAACAGTCTATAGATTGGCTCGACGTGCAGGGGATCGGGAATCGTTCTACACTTTACTAATCAAATAGGCCTCTCCGTGCGTTGATGAGCCAGATAAAGCGTCCGAATGGCTAGAAGTGCTCGCTACAACGAGTTTCCCTTCTTCAGCGAGCAGAAATGGTCTTGTGACCAACGATCATCACGCAGCATTTGCTTTGGGTGCGATTTTTGTTGCATTACCATAAAACCCCCGGGAGTCATTCTGCAGATTCTGATGACCATATTAAACCGGCAAGGCTCCCATGCCTGTCTATTGGCGTATGCGCACCGAAACCTCCGTATGATGTTACCTATCTTTATTCCGTTTCCACCGCCGTAGCAGTTGTTCCTGACCAGCAGTACTGTGCAAGCAAGGGAACCACTATCTATAATGCCACCATACTAGTCTTACTTTCAAAGCCCCCAAAACTACCGAACATGCAAGGTTCAACTTGGTTGTCAACAAACTGAATATTTATGTCCAAGCGCCTTCTAGGTGCAATGCTAGAAGTGGTCGCGAGTGATGATAATTACCTGAGTACTAATCACTGGGACCTTCCACCTCCGAGGTAGTAGGTCCTCTGGCTGGGGTGGTGGAGGGTGTCCATCGACAACCGGAGGCTGAGGAGCAAACTTCTCTGGAGACAAAACAATGAAATCAGAAGGTCGCGGCAGCCGCGCGTTATAGCTAGTGCGCTCGTTTTGAGGCGCCCACAGCAAGAGCTCCACATCGATTTGGGAGAGGTCTCGCTCAATCTGGGCGACGTGTGTCATCCTACTTCGGCGTCCGTGATTTCTTAGCCGCTGCATCCGCTCCTGTTGCGGCAAGACGGGGCAACACTGTTACACTGTTGTCTTGTCGTTGCCGTTGTTGAAACACGCACTGCAGTTGGTGCGTTATCCGCCGGTTCTCCATTAACGGCTGACTAGGTCAGCCTGACCTCGGTTGCAAAGGAGGAGCTCGGTAGCAACCCTCAGCGGTAAGCCGCGAGCTTTCTCACCCTAAGGTTTACATCAGCATAGTATGCTGATGGGCAAATTGTATTACAATTTCCCGAAAGAATTCTACTACCACAGCAAGTACACAGATATTATGTGTCACATCACACCGCACATCGGTCCATGTGATGAACCGTCTATGATGCTCTGGTACGCTTGTAGTGAGTAAGGCCTCCCGATCTCCAGGTGATGACTCCTCGATGCCCGGTACATCCTCACAACCAGTGCAACCAACTGCAACCAACACAGTGTTGGTTGCAGTGGAGTGACTCCACTTTACTAAACAACAGTGCCCTACAGTGCCCGTAAACGCGCATCCAACTCCGACTCGTCAACTTTACTTTGAGCTAAGTGCTCATGCCTAACACTGAGTCTCCGCCCCAATGTCTATCTGCGAATTACTCTTCCCTCGGAGGCACAAACGACTCCTGGTATCCAAATCAATTCTGATGACGCCTAGTATGTATGTAAAAGTTTTACAGAAAAAGAAGGGTGAGTTGTTTTACAGTAAAACACCTCACCCTTCTTTTTCTCCTTCCCACTCGCCCATCCTTTGATTTTCTTGGTGACGTTTACCTTGCATGTGTTGTTCATATTCCCATCCGCTATAGACCCTAACATTCCACAAATTACACGAATAGTATTCGTGTATTACCTGTTCTACATTACGCATATACATACAGTATGTATATGCGTAATGTATGTATATGCGTAATGTAAAACTACGTATGTAACATACTCGTCACAACAGCATAATATTACGGGAATCTCGATGATTTCTCGGTCAACACTATCCCGTTGAAACCGAACAGAAGACATTCCTGGCTGTGGTGGCATTGCGATAAAACTTGCAATCAATGTAAGAACAAAACCTAAGCCGACGTAAACCGTATTGCGAAGAGTAATGCTGACACCCTATTCGCTCGTGTATTGGTAGAGAAGACATTGCTGACCCTCAATAATCAATATACCAATCGTGCGCAGGTTCTCTCGGTCGAGCATTCAGATTTGTCAAAGCGTGAATCTCATGGTTCGATCATGCTCAGCGAGAATGAGATTGTGTCTACGGGATGAAAATACCTCTCGTATCCACTATCGAAGTGGAGGGCATTCCAGATGCTCACGTCTCCTGCTGTATATACTGCATACAGTGTACTGAATATACCAGAATGGGGAATATATTGTATTCCCCATTCTCGAATGTTGCATGGCGAGTTGAAGTGCTCGGGTGAATTCAAGCGGTCTCGAAAAAACCCTATCAGCTACTAAGTAGCTGCTACTTGTTAAACCCAACCCGGAAGAGTGAGTAGTGCACGGATTAAGGAAGACTTCACACTTTTAGTACCGACATCGGCACGGATACCCGATTAGGCATGAAAATAGTCATCGTGAAAGATGCTCTCAAAACGGTTGATGACGCACACTAGCAATTAGAAAAAAAAACCAGTCCACCGAGATAACATACGCGGCATAGAAGTGAGGCAATAATCATACAGTGAGCCTTCACTGTTGCAAAATGTTGGCTACTTCCAATGTGTGGAAGCTGAGTTATCCAAAGGTGTTGGAGGCACTGATAGAGTCATTCAAGATTCGCCAATAAATATATGATGATGATGAAACGGAAAGAGGAGAGAGCGCAGCCACTACGGGGGTAGGGGATATGTAAGAATGCACGTAATTATGCAGTAAAGAAAGAACAAAAAGCAATCGAACTCATCGAAAGCCTCCGAGAATGAATTCGATGATAATATTCTAATGATAGTCGCCCATCGGGGAATGAGAACAGCAGAATACAGCAGGGGAATGGGGAGGGGGATCGTTAATAATCGATTCTAGTCTTCATATTCATACAACAACGACAGTTGACGTATTATCGTCGTTCCAACCGTTGTTGCAACACTCGTTTGAATATAAAGTTAGCTAGTCAGAAACATTGGGGGTACTAATTCTCTTATATACTTGAGATCGCGAATAGGCGACAATAGGCCTCATCCGTGGTGGGGTGTGACCTGAATCAAACAGCGCTGCTAAAATGCAGTATCACAGTAGCCTAGCTTACTCTCAAAGGGGACCTGAGGACCTCCTCGCAGCTCTCAGCGGCCATGACCCCAGTAGGGGATCCGCATGCGTCGAGTAAAGCGCTGACTGTACATCCTCCTGGCGTCTGGCTCATCCACGGGTACGATTCCGCTTCTATTGCCTGGGACAGGAGCACCCCACCAGGAGTAATGGGTGCTTGGGTACCTCCATGCGACACAATAGGGAGACAGGGGCAGAGCCGCAGCTACCTGGCAAGGGTCCTGTTGTGGCTGCTGCTGGTGTGGGAGGTTGATGGAAATTAGAGGCGCTAGTGAGCAACAAGCTGTGCATAAAGGTGTCCGGTGGGGGCCGAGGTGTCTGTGACCGCAACGGGATGAACTCGGCAGCACTCGCATTGAGGGTCCTGCCAAGTGAGAAGATCAGTAACCTGTCCATCCTTTCTCGGAACTCACTTCCCCCCTGTATTGTTGTCAATCGACATTTGCGACAGTAGTAGCTCGAGATCAGGCAGTGCCTCTTGCAGGTCAGTACTCGACCCAAAGGTAGCGATGGCCTCTGACACCTCATTGACGGGATGAGCCAAGGGCTGTAGTGGAGAAAGCAGAGACGGGTCCAGTCCAGGGAGGCCTCCGGCAGCTCTTGAATCCCCATTGGTGATATCATAGTCGGTCTCAGTAGTGGCTGAGGGGATCAGAGGGAAATCCAATGGTGTGATTTGGTAACTGATGACACACCAATGTAATGGTACCACCGACAGGAGCATAGCCTACTGGTTGATGTGGAGATCTGCTATGGCACGATCCGTCGTGGAGAAAAGGTATTCATCTGGAGCTGTCTTCACTCGACGGGACTTGTCAAGAGCCTCTACCTCCTCCGCGTCTGCATATCTGACAGTATGAGGCAGTATGCACATGATCAAATACGTGTGTTGGTGACACTATGAAAATTGTGAGGAAATTTCGGGGAAAATTCTTATTATTCCTGCATACTTCTACTCGAATTCGTAAATGAACTCCTGAGCTCAGCTGAGGAAACCAAACGTATATTCCAACACTGGCCCTCGTTTCCCACACAGAAGACCTCAGTGGCACAGTGCCACTGCAAGAAAGTGTTTTTCAGCCATATCGCAGGGGAAGGATGATGAGGCTGTTGGGCTTTGGTTTCGGTGACAGCCGACGACAACGTTTTCGTAGAGCCCCCAGCCGACTTGGTCCCAGAGACTGCCTTCACAGGCGTGCCGGTGCTTCTCGATATACGTTGTGCTGAAGGAGTGGTATAGGGCGAATGCTTCACTGAGATGTACTCACGTGTAGCCACACACGGACCAGAGGCCTTATGGAGGGTTGCTCCTGGTAGCAACTTGAGGACAGGGTTGTTGCGACGCCAGTCGACAAAGACTAGATCGGTCAGCTTGGGGTCTTGGACCTGCCATGGACCCGATGTCATCAAACGACAAGAAGGGTCCTGACCATATCAATCAACTTCGTATGGCCTAGTGCCGTTTCGCTGAGGACAACACCATTGAAGTGACGCCTTATCTCGTTCTTGAGGTTCGACAGGAGTAGTATGCGTTGATTCCACTCGGTACTTCTGAGAGCAACAACTCTGTAGAGTAGCGGCTGTTACCCTGTGCGTACGTCAATAGAGCATAAAGGACCTCCCTGAGCCGACCCCAGGTTGCGATGAAGTCCTCCCTCGTGGATTCACTTCGGGGGGAAAGATGAGATGATCCGCTATGGTGAGAGTTGGAGCCATGATCGCCACATGAATCAACCTGAACTCAGCGAGATGTTCATGTCAGCAACGAACGCTCACAGTGGTATCTCGACGGCTGTGCTCCGACCCTTCCTTCGGAGGTCCTTGACGACGGTGACCAGCAAAGGTTGGCTTCTTATCTCCTACAGACAACAGCCACTGGAAACAACCATTAGCATTGACTTACGAGCATTAGCATCCTTCTCGGCTTTAGAGCTGACTTTGAATGGTACAACAGAGCCGCTCTTGCCGTAAGCCAGGATCTCCTTATCAATGGCGAGCTGGACCTAATGATACGCTGAAAACCGCCCCAAGGGCAACAAGCATTTTCACTATGTGGCAGAGCTCGCCGAGACTGTAGCCGTTGAGAAACCTCAGATTCCTTTCCTTCAACGCTCTAGCTGTTCCGTACCGGCCACCAGGAAAGGTGTAGAAACTCGCTAAAAAGTGTAGTCGCAGGACAAGGAACGAGAGCACTCACGATCGTATAATAGGAGGGAGTTTATTTCGGTCCTGAGTGCCTCCCAGACCTGAGGGCCGTAGTAGTCCACTGGATCCTGAACGAGAAGAGGCTTCAGCATAAACTCTCATCAACATGATAGTTACCGTGGGAGAAACGAAGCCTCGGAAGGACTTGGGAGGATGCGCCCTGAAGGGCAAGGCACGGCTATGGGAGCTGTAGGCCCAACGAGGCCCTACAGTTTAAAGCCAGGGACTGGGCGGTCCTCCGCTTTCTCAATGGAGAAATCAGGATTATTCTGATTGCAAAGGTGCCTGAGGAAATTGCCTCATTTAGCTGTTTCCGTGGTGACAGTCACTGATGTCACATAAGAGTGTCCAAGGTCAACGGTTCGGCTTTGTACCGTTCCTCGTGGCGCTTTTTGACCGACTGGAAATCTGGGTAAATACGATCGTTATACCTAAGCGCCGTTATGGATAGTGGAGATACCCTGGACACACTCACAGACTTATTATGGTCCTTTTGATCTGTTCACGTAGTGTCATTAGGAGAGCCACTAAGGGTAGGCTTTTCCCAGAACTACAGTATAGGAACTACCGGAAGGGTTACTTTGTAGTACTCTGTGCTAGCGTCTATGGTCTGTCTTACTAATTGACCGGTACTTAACCCAATATGCATTTCGCTATCATGTAGAGACGAGGAGATCAATAGATTTGTCCTGAGTTCCAAGAGCATCGACCAGAAGAGGATCGAGATTAACATGTGGAGTCCAATCGTGGGAGCTCGACGAGAAATCCCGACACAAGAAGATTTCTGATGGAATTTTGCGTCACGCGCCACGAAATTATCGCTAGTGCGTTTGATCGATTTGCGTAGTTCATTGGCTGTTATTTCCCTTGGACTAAGTCACCCAACTCAATCTGCTATAATGGGAGCCTACAAGTACCTTTCTGAGATCTGGAACAAGAAGCAATCTGACGTGATGCGCTTCTTGATTCGCGTCAGGAACTGGGAGTTCCGTCAGCTACCTGCTGTCCACCGTGCCTCCAAGGCCACTCGCCCTGACAAGGCCCGTCGTCTCGGCTACAAGGCCAAGCAGGGCGTTGTTATCTACCGTGTCCGCATCCGCAGGGGTGACCGTAAGAAGCGCGTCTCCAAGGGTATCGTCTACGGTAAGCCCGTCCATCAGGGTGTCAACAAGCAGAAGTCTACCAAGTCTCTTCGCGCTATTGCCGAGGAGCGTGTTGGTCGCCGCTGTGGTTCTCTCCGTGTCCTCAACTCCTACTGGGTTGGTCAGGACGCCCAGTTCAAGTTCTTCGAGGTCATCATGGTCGATCCCTTCCACAACGCCATCCGTAACGACCCTCGCATGAACTGGATCGCTCACTCTACCATGAAGCACCGTGAGCTCCGTGGTCTCACCAGTGCTGGTCGTAAGAGCCGTGGTCTCCACAAGCGCGGTTCCCACTTCGGTACCAAGGTTCGCCCCTCGAAGCGCGCCAACTGGAAGAGACGCCAGACTCTCCAGCTCAAGAGGTTCCGATAAATGTCTTAGTCGTTGTTGCTGGATCGATGACGCATTGCAGTTATCGTTTCCCGTTCCAGCCGCTATTACTTCATTTGGCCCGGTATTGTTTTCCTACAGCAGACGATATAAGTGTTTGGGAACATCGCAGTGTTGTGTTGTCTGAGTCTATCGTGTTTTAACACCCGTG